TGCATAGAGAGTGACAAGCTAAAGCATAAAGTGCATGAGCCATAGCACAATGCTCTATTTTCAGCACCTTGAGATTTTTCAATTCCTTTCGCTCTTCTAAGGTATCCCAGGCTTCTATAACACCATTTTACTCAAATTATAAGTTAATAAATGGTTTCCAAGGTATTTTAAAACTATGAAAATTTGGGATCCCATTATTTTAATTATAAACTTGATAATTTCTTTATGGGTTAATCCCTTAATTACCATATATTATAGTTTAAATTGTGATTATATAAGGGAGATTTTACAATTTGGTATCAATTTCTATTATTTTGAGAATTGGTATGTGATTTGTGTGAGTTGTAGTTGAGATGTGTATATACATTGCATATAAATAATTGGCAATATTCTATTACACATGTTGTTTTCTCTCATTAAGCTAGTGTTAGCTCCCTTTTTTTTGGATTGCTTCCATTCTTAGAAGGGTAGAATATAATGCAAATAAGAGATACTAACACTAGAAATGCTTTGGAAAATGTATAAAGACCAAATGAAGGTGGTCCATTACTGGTGAATTCAGAACAGCAACTAGAGCCTCAACAAGCTAACAAAAATGAGGCCTTAGAAGAACTAAAGGCAAATAATGAGAAACATTCAGAGAAGAATGGACGGGTATGATAAGATCCTTAAAAAGAGACCTGGGGAGAGCAATAAGAAGGTAGAGAGAGTTGGGGTTGATTATGAGGAAGTATGAAATGATATGCACGCTAAGATGTATGGGCAAGAGGAAGAAGAGTACTATAAGGAAAGCATGCCTGAGAGGCCGATGCAATTGGTACAACTTAGGAGGAGTGAGTTAGAAGGCTCCATTGATCTAGCATTGAAGAGATTCATAAGGTTAAATCCTCCATCTTTTGAGAGTTCAATGGAGGGCAGAGTAACTGAGAAGTAGATTAACAAACTTGAGATCATCTTCTCAATCATGTCTTGCACTACAGAGTAGAGGGTACTTCTTGCCACTTTTATACTTGAAGACACAGCAAAGAAGTAGTGGAAAAGTGTAAGGCTGATGGACAGCTCACAGCTGACGTGGAAGGAGTTCAAGAGGTGATTCTTTGCCCATTATTTTCCAGCCTTATTGAGAGTAGAGAAAGAGTCAGAATTCTATAGGCTCTAGCAAAACAAACTGTGATTGCTTAACAAGTGACAAATCACACATGACTACCATCATTATTAGAAATTCAATGAGCTATCCAAGTACTCCAATTAATTGAGTCATCATGACAATGAATATTGGAAGGCCGAGCAGTTTCTTCATAAGACGAGGCTTGAGTTCAATCAACAGTTGGCTACTTTTTTTTGTATACACAGTTGGCTACTTTTAATATTACCTCTTTTGAGGTCATATGCAATAAATTCAGAGCTATCACTAGAAGGAATAGAGCAATATAAGAGAAAAAGAGATATGGTTAAGGGAGATTCTCTTCTCATACACGCCCTATGGGCGAAGTGAGTAAGAAGTCAAGTTTTACCCTAAGTGTGTCTGAGAGGTACAATGTTGGGGGAAGCAAGAAAAAAAGCTTTCAGAAGGGGTCCCAATCTAAAGGATCCAATTAAAGGAGCAATGCCCCCATTAAGCATGGGCAGGGTCAAAATCAAACATCCCAATAGGGATTTATAGCTCCACGTGCTACTGTACCAGTAAGAGCTCTGCAATGCAATAAATGTGGGAGACATCATCAAGGGCAGTGCTAGACCCATTACTAATGCAACAAGTTAGGCATATAATCAATTATTGCTCGAAGAACATACCTGCTCTAGATTAAAGATCTGCTATCCTAAGGTGAGTCTTTGCTATGACCAAAGAAGAGCCCGAGGCTTTATCGAAGCTGATTAGAGGTAAAATTTTACTCAGTGGTAGCCAAATAAATGCTTTATTTAATTCTGGTACCACGTACTCTTTTATATCTGATGAATGTGTGCAAAGATTAAAATTGGATATGCTTGAAACACCATTTTTTACGGTGGTATCTACACTGGCTAGTGCATATGTGAGAACCATTCAGGCTTATTTGAAACTAGAGTTAAAGTTTGACGATAGAGTAACTGTTATTGACCTAATTTACTTACCTTTGAGTGGCATTGATATGATGATAGGGATGGATTGGTTGTCTGCTAATGGTGTGACACTTGACTATAATAGAAAAACAATTTCCCTATTAGTCTATACAGCAATGACTATATACCCCTGAGCCTGATAAGTCATTGTTAGTGGTGGATTGTGAGACTCCTGAGTTCTTGTCAGCCTTATAGGTAGAGAAATATGTGAAAGAGGGTTGTCAATCATTTATGATATACTTTCATTTTTATTATTATTATTTTTTTAAGAAGTTATTTATTGAAAGAATTTTTGGTATTTAGATAGTAGCAGTGGACCTGCTCTTCAGCAGATCTTGTGGGGTCTTTGAGATAATAAGTATTTTATTGCTTCGTTTATATCGTGGATTAATATAAATATTTGAGTATTTTGTTTTTGTTTTAGAGTCACTCTATGAATCATATAGGCATAATCATTGTTTAAAGTATTTTGGTTTGTATGCATATATATTGTATCAAAGTATAACTCTAACTACTACTTGAATATTCTTTTTGACAGGTTGTAGATATTTCAGGAAGTATAACTTATAGGGAAAACTTTATCAAAATTTCTACAGCAATGCTTCAATATTTTATTACTATTAGTATTTGCTTAATACAAATGATGATTATATGATAAGATTGGATAATTAAAATGTTAGATGTTATATGTGTTTAATCTTATAGAATATGAGTTTTTCTTGTATTTCAACCGATCACATTTTGAAAGTTTAAGGTTGACAACTATGGTCTTAATTATTCAAATTTTGGCTCTCACTATTGTTAGGTTGCTCCTTAGGGCACTCTTTTAAAAATTGATATTGATTGTGCATTTAAGGAAAATTTAAAGAGTGTTGTTGTTGCTTTTGTTGTCAAGGATTGCAATAGAAGGATAGTGGATGGTTTATTTGAGGTGTGTGTTGCCTCCTCTACTCTTGAACTAGAATTTTTGGCCATGGAATGTGCAATGGATTTTGCTACTTGAAAGGATATGCAGTATGTTTGATTTAAGTTTGATTTAAATATCTAATCAATTGTTTAAATTCGAGTTTGGCTCTTGCTAATTGGAAATGTGTCTACTCTTTTAAGAATATCCTCTCTAAAAGGAATTTTTTAAGGAATTGCTTGTTTGCTTGAGTTCTTAGAGAAGCTAACATGTGACAAGTTGAATTTATAAAACTTCACTTAAGGAATAATGTCCTTCAAATTAGGTTGCGCGATCCCTAATTCTTTTACTCAATCTTTTGGAGAATGATTGTCTTTCTTTTAGAGACTTTGGATAATGTTTTTTTTTGTTTGATTTTAGTTTTTGTGAGACTCTTGTTATTTGCAGAATCTCCTTTTGATGGCAATATATATATATATATATATATAACTATTGGTAATTTGTGTTGTTGGATTCTTCATCCTTTGTTGCAGTAATGTGTACAATTGAATTTTAAAAAAGAGGATTGCCCTATACACATATAATATTGCTTGTTTATTTTTTTAGAATGAAATCAACTGAAAGTCTAGTAATGAACAAGTGAGGGAGGGCAATAAATAAAAGTTTGTAAATAAATAAACAACATATAATATAGGAACTAACAAGTTGTCTTAATATGATTTTAACACTTAAAATGAAAATAAATCAAATGGGATAATGAATAATATTTCGTAAGTAAATTAACAAGTGAAGTAGGGTAAGCAATTGAACTGGGGTAATAAATAATTAAAGTAGGGAAGTTTTGCTATTAATTTAAATGAGGGATAATTTTATCACTTCTTTTAAAAATTTAATATAAAATCAAATCCTAAACTATATTAAAATTTAAAAAATTTAATGCCCCGTTTGGTACAATGGAAATAATTTTAATAAAAATGGAAATAGAAATGGATATGAAAGTGGAAATGAAAATTAAAAACATGTTTGGTATGTCCATAGAATTATGATATAATTTTTCATTGAAATGTATCTTCGTTGTGGTGAGAGACCAAAATACCCTTTGCTAAAAGAAAAAATACACGTAGAACACACACTTGCCTCCACAATTGACGGCACCCGCCCACATCCCCACTAGCGATAGCAACTAAAAGATTCAACAGAACAAAATAGATCTAAAAAATGACACAATTAGAAGATAGATCTGAAACATGGTAGAGAAGATGAAGAAGAATCAAAGATCTAGAGAAATTGAAGTTGGAGTCTGGAGATCTAAAGAAGAAGACGAAAGCTGGATATTTGAAGAAGAAATCATGAAGAAGAGGTGGTGAAGCAAAGGAGAAGAAATCGCTATCATCTCTCATCGTCGACACTAAAAATAAAGATCACTATTTCTTCATTGTGGCTGAGGAAGTTGTCGTTGCCATCGCCATTAATGGAGTTCACTATCTCCTATTCAAGTCGCTATCTTCTCTAGTTCTTCTCTCTGTGAAAAGTGAAGGTCTAGAGAGATAGAAACCTGGACGAGTGATAGTGAGTAGACAATGGAGATTGACTAGTTAAGCAATGAAGGTCTTCTTGCTGTCTTCTCTCTATCACCTCCACTAGCCCTTCTTGTTGCCGCAATGGACTCCCAAAGTGGAGGGGCACAACGATCAAGGAGTTAGAGATGTAGATGGAGATGAAAGATGGAATTGCAAAACTGATGTTTAGTTATAGAAATCAATTCCATCATTTTTGATGGAAAAGATTTCCGCATAGAATTAGCTTTCTTTGTACCAAACAAGCTAAAATTCCATTTCTATTACCAATTCCATTTTTACTTTTCTTAATTAAAGGATACCAAACGGGGCATAAGAGTTTTAAATTTAAATAATAATAATAATAATAATAATAATAATAATAATCCCATGATCTTATTGAAATTGAAATTCTCCCTGATTATAATCCCCGTGTCGGGGGTAGTAAAATCTAGCTTAATTGAATGTGAAGTCCAATACTAGAACGGTTCCATGTTCTCTCCTGGCGCAGGATAAATAACGCATCCCGTCAGATCCGTTGCAGATGCTACTTCTTCGTTCTTTCTGTCATCTGCTTTCAATTTGGCCTTGAGCTACAATCAACCGCATTTCAATTTGCAGTTGCTGTTGTATTGTCAGCACTTTTAAGTCAGATCTAGGGTTTCCTTTGATCAGTATTCCTCGATCCCTGCCAGATTAAATTCGGTTTAACATTGCTGGGTCTTCGGATCTCTGATTTTAAGAGTTAATTGGTGATTGCATCTGTGAAGTACCCGATTGCAACGGTGGGCTAAGGAAAATGCCAGTCAAATCGGCGCAATCATCGTTTCGGGATCGGACACAGGAATTCCAGAGCATAGCTGAGAGGCTAAAGAAGTCAGTCTCGTCCAGTTCAGGGCCAAACGGGCCCAGCAGTAGTTCAAGATCGGAGGAACAGCGATCTGCAGTTGCAATTCAGTCAGAATTCAATCGGAGGGCTTCCAAGATTGGTTATGGGATACATCAGACGTCACAGAAACTTGCTAAGCTGGCCAAGTGTAAGTAATTGATTTGAGTTTCCAGGGAAACTTTTACTGTAAGCTGTTTATACCTTCATGCATTTTTCCTCTCCATGGATTGCGCGCCGACGCATGGACTGCGGCCTCGTTCTCAATGTATAAGGAGTTGAATCGATAAATAAACTGTCATAATGTATTTTTAGATTTGTGATTGTGCTGGATGATCATTAGTTAAAACTTTAAGAAGTAAAAGAAAAAGAGTGTGAATAGTTTCTGCTATTTCAGGGGAAGAATGTCGGTTTGAGTGCTCTTTTAAGCAATCTTAGCAAATAGCGTCGCGAGGATGACAAATTGTTTTGCATTCATTTTAATTTGTAGTGGCAAAAAGGACTTCGGTTTTTGATGACCCCACCATGGAAATCCAAGAGCTCACAGCAGTTATTAAGCAAGATATCACTGCACTGAACTCTGCTGTTGTAGAACTGCAGCTAATCAGCAACGCTAGAAATGATAGTGGAAATATCTCTAGTGACACAACTAGTCACTCAACCACAGTTGTTGATGACCTTAAAACACGATTGATGAGCACCACAAAAGAGTTTAAAGAAGTCCTCACCATGCGAACAGAGGTATTTTATGATATTGATACACTTGGATGTCAATTGGAAGAAAGTGTTAGTCGCAAGTTTATCTTGATATGTATTTTTTTAATTGTTGTTTTAGTTTTATTTTATTTATTTTTTTGAAGTTATTCACATTTTATATCTTTGCTGCTTTGACTGATGATTTGATCTTGCTGTTTTCTGAAGAACTTGAAGGTACATGAGAATAGAAGACAGTTGTTTTCTTCCACTGGTTCTAAGGAAGCTGCGAATCCTTTTGTTCGTCAACGTCCCTTGGCTGCAAAGTCCGTTGCCAATGCCCCTGCACCCCCATGGGCTAGTGGGTCAACATCTTCATCTCAGTTGTTTCCAAAGTAAGTTACGCTTATTTATTGGTTATTGATATTGATTGGTTGTAGTTAAAAATACGTTTGTACATTTTTTTGTTAGGTTTCAGCTATTCATTTGAGTGATTTTGTAAGGGAAATTGAATTGCTATGTTTTTCCATCACATTTTTATCTGGCATATCTCAGATCTCATGGAAATGAAAAATTGGCTTGTTCATTGGCACAATCTGATTTCTGCTTCACGGACTACTGATTTTGTTCCAATCTGGGTCGAATTATAATGTGGATTCTTACATTGTCGAAGATCAACCTGTTAGTAATATTAATAATAGGATTTAAAAAAAAAAATCACAGGAAACAAGTGGATGGGGAGAGTCAACCATTACTGCAGCAGCAGCAGCAGCAATTGGTTCCATTGCAGGATTCATATATGCAAAGCAGAGCTGAAGCTCTTCAGAATGTTGAGTCCACTATTCATGAGTTGAGCAGCATTTTTAATCAATTAGCAACACTTGTTTCCCAACAAGGGGAAATTGCCATCAGGTTTTTACACTTTACTTGGATGCTATATAAATGTATGCCATTTGTTCTTCATCGCTTTGTATTCTTGCATGATATACACAGTGGGATACTGTAACCTTTAATATTACTTGAATATTCAGTGATCATGTGCATTAGGGAATGAGCCTAAGCCATATTAAGTGAACTTAGATGCAAGCTGCATTATATATAGATGGCGAGGTGTATATGTAAATTTCCGGGCTTTCAGAGAAATATAGCTTAATGATGTGCCTGTCTGATAGAGATAATTGAAATTTTACAGCTTAGGGCATATTGATTATTAGGTCCTGTTGTCTTCCTATATGAATGGCTGGTTTTATGAATTTTAGAGTAAACCATTGTAATACAATAGAGTACCGAGTAGTATGGGATAATCGGTGATGTGGGGGAGTTAGAGAGATAGAAGGAACAATTATTATTTCAAGTTATTTTAGATATTATCTGTTTAATAATATTTTTTAGATTATCTTTCTGTTTTGTTGAGTGGTCCTTAAGTTTAGGAGTAGTGGGTTATGGCACTTGGAGATTAAGTTAGAATTTATATTTTATTTATCTTTCAGGTAATTATTCCCCATTATCTTAGTTATGGATCAATGGGAGTATTTTTAGGAATTATTAGTTATTTTTTTGTCTATAAATATTGAGGCATGTATCACGCGGAAAGCATTTGGAAATAGAATCATTTTTTTTTGTAAGTGGAGATTCATCTTTGGCTTTATTAGTTGTATGAGTTTAAGATTCTTGCTTTTTATTTTTATTTAATTTATGAAGTTAGATTCTAATTTCATATTTTAATAAAAATTGATCTTCCTTATTTCTCTTTACCTATTTGGGATCCTATTATAACCTTTGAGAACACTTGTTTAGATACCAAGAAAATGGAAGGTATTTTTAAAATTTCATTACTGTTGCAATTCCAAGAGATTTGGTTCATATGTATTAATTGGTTTGGAAAGTATCAACATGAGATGTGCGAAATCACTACAGGCAACTCTAACTTGCATAAAATTGCTGGAAGAGTTCAGGGGAGGGGACCAGAGTGACTTGGCTGGTTCAGCTAACGAACTGATCATGGTACTGGTCTGGTTCTATTATTAGACTGTTTTGCTGTTGTGCTAGATTGATCTGACAGTTGAACTGTTGATCATGTTAGTTTAACCAGACTGGGCAGGTCCCCCCCTTTTAATATAAGATTTAATTAGTCCATACATAGTCCATATATTAACTCATCAAAACAAATTATACAACTTCACTATTTTCATTGTGATTGTTCATTTCTGTAAATGTGGTGCATATTATATTTACTAATGGCTCATTGGTTCAACTTTTCACTTGGTAATTGAACCGGGGATCTTGTTGGATGGATTAAGAGCGGGAAATTTTGTTTCATTGGCCATTCATGGTCTGTTTTCAACATATATGCTTTGGGGTGAAGTGTATATTGATAACTGTTGAATAAAACATCTAACGTTTGGAACTCCATATGTATGAATACTCATGTGCCTGTAGAGTGAAAAGTTTCTAAACCTTTATACCAAAAAAAAAAAAAGTTTCTAAACCTTTGATTTCTTCATTAATGGTCATTCACCTGCACTTTTCCCCCTCTATATGTGCCTCGCACTTTAGAGTGGGTTTAAGTTACATGCATGAAAGCCATGTTTTAGCCTTTCTAGAGAATTTTTACTTCCTCCATGATCTTACTTCTTCCTTTTGAATGTGGCAAGCTTGCCATAGGATCATGTCTGCCTCCTGATGTGGCACAATTTTCTTTATGCCTGCTCGTTGGTGCAGAGATTTAGCCAGATAACATTACCACTGCAGATTTAGGGTTTTTTTTAAAATCATGTTTTATCCCTTTCCCCCCATTTCTTTTTGGATGAAAAGTTGAAATTTATGAGTCAATTTTGTTTGAAGCTCTCCTCTCCCCCCCCCCCTTTTTCTTTTCCTTTTTTATTGATATCTTGGATTTGGATATAGATGAGATGGGATGTTAAATAATTAGTTCGTTGCTTCGATGAATTTTTTATGAGGAAGCTGGACGATTTCAGTTCGTGAGGCTCTATAGGCACGCCCTAAAAGCTTGATGTCTGTATATTCATGTGTTATCTAATGGCTAATGCCTGGTCTTGTTCTTGATCGCATTATTTTGTCTATTTTCCCCCCATTTGTTTGATAGAATCCTGACTACAATCTTGAGAAGATAGCAATATTGCAGCTTTGTCACCTGTAAACCTTCATAATGCACGCGCGATTCCTTAGGAGGGGAAATCCTATCCTATAATCATTTAGACTGGTGCTTCACTCTTAGATGGTTGCATATGTGTTTTTTTATTTGATTGCCAACCAGTTGAATTTGTTATCATTAACATGATTATTTATTCATTTATTTTAAATCTGGCAGTTGAATTTAGACTAAGGGTTTAAGGTCCTTAATTACAGGATTGATGAGAACATGGACGATCGTTGGCAAATGTAGAAGGGGCACAGGGGGCTTTGCTAAAATATCTGAACAACATATCTTCTAATAGGTGGCTGATGATCAAGATATTCTTTGTATTAGTATTTTTCCTTATGGTTTTCCTATTTTTTGTGGCATAGTCATCCCAAAGATACAAGAGAAATGAAGACAGTGCGACGACCTTACTTACTGGTGATGAGTCTTCTGCTTTTCATTAATATTTCTTTTGTTAAATATTATATTCATGCCTGCAGAGTTTTACCCTCCGGTCTGTGAAATTTGATACTTGTATGTATTGATTTATGTAAGAAGGTTACAAATTAGAAGAATTGCGTATAATCCATGTGTTCTTTTGTGATCTTGTAATTATTTTATTGATGAAGTTGATTGGTAATATTCATATCCATGTTTGGAAATATGGAAAGAAATCAACTGAGTAAAGAATTGTGAGTTAAATACAGGAGAAGTTAATTAAAATGGAAGGGATAGATTTCTTGAGCTGTATTTGAAATTTGTATGTCTTTAGCACTTGTAATTTGGTTCAATTCAGTGTTCGTTTTATTGTAAGGTGCGAAGCTTGTGCTACACGTAAGAATATTTGTCACATGAATACGCAATGAATCGCTAATCGGTTTGCTAATTATGAATTGTAAGATAAAGTTTTTTTTTAATTAAAAATTGTAGAATGGTTGCATTGCTGATTCAGTTGTTTTTAGTCGTACTTAGAGCAAAACTGTTATTTGTAGCAGAGAATGTGTCTGCTTGCGTGACCCAGCATTTCGGTCCTTCGGCTTTTGAAAATTGTAAAATTCTATTGTTGGGTCCAGTGAAAGCATGCTAGAGAATCAACTCAATGAATGGCAAGTATATTATTCATCTGAGTCCGGGATTGCCTTAGTAGTTACGAATGTTAATGTTGATGCCCACGAATGAGAACCCAAAAGTTATCTCTTTTCCTCTCTCTATGCCCAAAAAAATAAATTGTTCCGGTGGGGAGTATACAATTTAATGATCGGTTAACAGGTAAAGATGTTCAAAATTTTTTTGAAAGGAGCACTAAACATATTTATTTTTTAATTGAAGTAATTTTATTCCAAAACTTTAAAAAATGGAACACTTTTGCCTAGCTGTTAGTAAGGTAAGACTGTTGGTTTAACTATTACCAATGTTTTCAGAACCGGATCGGACATTGAACCGAAAAAGTCAGCGATTCACGGTTCGTATGATTCAATCGGTTGGACCAATGATTTAACCGGTGACGTAATAATTAAATTAAAAAAATTATATATGTATATAATAATTTAAATATAAAAAATATATATGAAATTGCTATTTAACTTAAAAAAATTAAATATTTTAAGTTTATCATGACTTAAAAAGCTATATGGTACAATATAATATCAAATGATTAAAAAAATTAGTCATTTTTTTAAAAAAATTTGATAAAAAATAAAAAAAATTTGAACACTCCGGTTTTTGAAAACCGGATCCGGTTCCCGGCTTGATTCTGGTTCCCAATCCGATCGCCGGTTCGAAACATCAACTCTTAAAACGTTTTTTTCTTTTGAACTAGACCGGAAATCAAACCAGTCGACGGTCCGACCGGCCGGTCCGGTCCGGTTTTCAAAACAGTGACTATTACTTCAACTTTTTTTTAATTTTGTCAGGTCACTACCACCTAACATTTTTTAAAAAAATTGAAAAAACAAATCCAAAAAGTTGCCACATGGATCCACAAGGGATGTGTACATCTGGAAGAAGGAGGAAAATCCGAAAACAAAACAATCTCAGAAATCCATTCTTGAACACATTCTCATAGCAACAATATTTTGGTGATTGTTCCTCTTTTTCGGTGGATAAGTGCAATGTACCTTTTGGCATGAATGGTGGCGTTACCATTCCCGGAAAAAAAAAAAAAAAATCTCCAGGTGGAGTCCATCATCATTAGTTCATTACTGTAAGCACCAACTGCTAAGGCCCCCAGGTTTTGTTTTGTAATCTCCCCACTCCCAAGTCCTCACCATGAAAGTCAATTTCTGCTACACTGTCTCCATTTCCTCCACCAGTAGCATCAAGAGACCCATGTCAACGACCTTTACGATCATGGCAACAAAACTACAAAAAGAAACACATCGGGAGGCTGCAAGTTAGAGCGGTAACAAGAGATCCCGAAATCGGAAGAACAAGACAGGTACACCCCAATTAGCCTTTTCTTTAACAAACTCCATCGCGTCTTGGGTTTCCCAATCACCCCATAGCAACTCGTCTAGATTGAAGAAGACAACATTAACGTCAAAGGACTCGGAGGCGGCACGACGAGCAGGATTGGAGCGAGTAGTTCAAATTCGAGAAGGGGTAAGACGCCATATTGGACGGCGCCTCTGGCTATACTTTCTGCCATCTTACCAGTTCCGATAAAACCAACGTTGCGCTTATCCACCGAAACAGGAACAATCACCAAATTCGTCGAACAAGGGTGTGAATTAGTCAGCAATTATGAACCTTTTGGCACTCTGCGCAGGCAGAGAGTAAAGTAGGATAAAGAGGGTGATTGGGGATTTGGGTCTTGATGACCAGATTTGGAACACCGTCGAGGTTGGGGACCAAATTTGTAAACAGTCGAGCAAATGGACCCAGATCTGGAACCCGTCGAGCATTATGATGGAGCTAGAAACCTCACGTTTGTTTGGTCCTCACTTCCCCTGTGCGTTGGGGAGGAAGCAACAAACAGAGGCTGCGAAGAAGCTCGGCCGAGAAGAAGAAGGTCTGGGACAACGGACGACGAGCTAGTGGGTGGCCAGGGACAACGGACGAGAGCTCACTGCAGTGCTTAGAGCCAAGAGCTGAGTGACTGCGCGAGGAGAGGATGCGCAGGCCGTAAGGGGAGGGAAAGAGGTGAGTCATTTTGTTTTTTCTTAAATGCCGGGTGGCAGCCACGTGTTAAGGAAGAGAAAACATATTTTGATCCTTCACTTTATTTATATTTTATTATAATTTTTTTATTTTTTTAATATTTTAAATTCTCATATTTTTATTTTTTAATGTTATAAATTTTTAAATAAAAAAATATAGAGATTTTAGATAAACATAAAATATTAAAAAAATTATAAGGATTCAAAATATTAAAAAAACGTGTAAAAATTTATAATAAAATATAAATAAAGTGTAGGGATGATGTTTTTTTTTTTAAATAAAAAATATATCAAACGAACGGTCTAATAATTGCAGGATAAAATTACTTCTTTTTTAGTAGTTTCTAAGCAAAATTGTTCAACCAAATTGTATAGACGTTCAGTACTCTTTTTAAAATTTTTTGCCTCCTAATGCTTTAACAATTGTTGAGAGATTCTACGAAATGAAAGACTAAGATGAAGGATGTCATTAACGTCTATAAGGCCTAGTTTTCTAGTCTATATTTATATAAATTTTGAATCTAACTATGAACAGTGAATTACCAATATTGCCCCCCCTTTTCCCCTCATACTTGCTGAGCTCATGCAGTGCGCCCGTGTCTCTCATGCTGATAATTGCTTTACCGTACATGTACAGTGAAAAAAAATTCATTGACTGAGATATACAGTAAAAAGCAACATTTAATATTTTTATTCTTTTAAATTGTTTTTAAAAATATTTTTAATAATAAATTATTAACACATATTTATTAAAAAATTAACAACATAAAAAAGTGTTTTTAATATTTTTATTTTTCTGAATTTTATAAAATTCTTAGATTTTTTAATTTATTTTTTTATTTTACATTCTTTAAATGACTTATAACTAAACATTATATATGGGTTGGTAAATTTTAAGTTATAATATGTTGTTAAAAAAATATTGTTAAAATATTTGCACATCTTTTGCACTTAATATTTTTATTTTTTTCAATTTTATGAAATTCTTAGATTTTTAATTTATCTTTTTATTTTAAATTTTTTAAAGTCTTATAACAATGCATTACGCATGAGGTAATAAATTATGAGCTATAATATATTGTTAAATTTTTTAATTTTCATGAATAGTAAATTACTAAATATTTTTTTACATTATTATTTAGACTAAGTTATAAATTGAGCGAGGTGAAAGATTACAGAATACAATAAGGTATTATTTATAATTTTAACATGTATTGGAATAAACAAATTACAAAATAAAATAAGTTGTTTATTATATTTTTAATTTGAAAGGGATAAGAAATTTTGAATTGCAAGTTGTTACTAATATTTTTTTAATATGCATATTATATTATTTATATTTTGATGAGTTTGATGTTAAAAAATAGAGAAATATGGTTGAAATTTTTAATTGAGTTTTTTTTTTCTCTCTTTCATTTTCTCTCTATTAGAATGTTATAATTCTATTTGCCTATATTTTTAAATCAATCTAAAATCTCTCCTTTCTCCCTCTACTTTTCTCAAACTAACATGTATGATAGGGTTTGCTTTAATTTACAGAAGAGGTAGTGTTATCAATAAAATTCATAACTTGGAATATTATTGTCCAAAAATTTTCAATTCTTGAAAAATCATCTCAATTTTATGGATATAGGCAAGGGATATAATTCCATCAAAATTGATGATAGTGGGTTTAGATATAACAAGCAATTTAAATTTTAAATTTTACTTTCACTTTTCACTTATCTAGTCCCAATTCCATTGCACCAAACGCAGCATTAATGTCTCCCATTCATTATACTGAGTTATTTGGGTAACTCTCTCCTGTCCCTTCCTTTCTTTCTTTTTTTTTTCCATGTTTTTTCCATTATACAAACTTTTATACAATAATGATTTGATGCATGTGAGATAAAAGTAATCAATTCGACAATATGGCATCATACAAACCAAATTCACATCAATAATATATAAAATTTATTTTCTTAAATATTTAACATTTTTTATAAATAAAATAAAAGCCTGTTAAAATTTAAACTGTTCTACTTTATTTTCTCACCATTAAAATTCTTTAACTATGGCTTTTGTCATTCATTAAAAGAGAGACATATTTCTTTTGTATATTCTCTTGTACATTAGAATGTATAAAGTTGTTATATAATTACATTTGCATGCTTTAAATGAATGATATAATCATTCTAAAATAATATATAAGTAACTAATATTAAATAAATAAGAAAATAGTATAAGTCGAAGATGCTGTTTAACAAATTAAAAAAAAATTATTGTCGTAATATGCAATAGATTAATGTTTTTAAAATTATAATATTTTACATCATTTATGATGGTGGGGGCTAATTTTAGTTTTTAGTGGTCTTAGATTCTATTTTTGTTTTTTGAGGCTAAGATTTCATTCTATTACCTAGAAAAATGGCGGGAAATCCCCCCTTGCATGAGACAGGTTGAATGCAACTTGAGAGTAATTAGAGTGGATTTCATGTATTTGACTTTGGTGAAATCAAAACAAGTTGTAGCTTTTATATTTTATATCGGTTGATAATATTGATGAATATAAGAGATTAATCTTCCACCTACCCAGCAAAGTTCTATATCCTTTTTTGAAGGGTTGCATAAATATTTTATAATCTTGTGCAGTCGTTATACTTTTTTTTTTAAATTTAAAATATAGTTTTTCAAAATTTTTTATGTGATTTAGTAAGAACATGACCTATATATATATTTTTCAGAATTTAACATAATCAGAATTTAACATAATTAATAATTTTGAAATATAGGTCATGTTCTTACTAAATCACATAAAAAATTTTTATGAATCGTGATTGATTGACTTATTCTGCAGACTTCGTGGGACATATGAAGCATGGACAATATATATATATATATATATACTGAGAAGAAAATATATCTAGTTATACCTAAATTTAACTTATTGTTTAAACTCACTAGAAAAACTTTATATTTGAATTGAATTAACATGAAATATAAAAGTTTTAAGGTTGGAGAGTCTGAATATATCTAATTATATTTAAATTTAACTTATTGTTTAAACTCATTAGAAAAACTTTATATTTGAATTGACTAACATGGAAAAAGATGGAGTCAATAATTCAGATGAGTTGAATTTAAAATATCTTATCGTATAAAAAAGTTCATATAGCAGAGTTTGACCTTAATCTCTTGAGCGTTTAGGCTTATTCAGGTTGGTTCAAATATCCAAATTATTAAATATTATATTATGTTATTTTTTATCTTTACCTAATTTTAATTTTCATTTCAAAAAAATTAATATTTGTAATTTCTATATTACTTTATTGTTAATAAAAAATAAATTTAGATATTTGATTTAATCTCATTTAGGTTTTGGTTCTACCTTAAATTTTTTTAGGTTTATTTGAGCAACCTTAAATAAGCTCAGACAAAAAAAAGAATTTATAAATTTTCAAATTTAATTTAAAATTTTTTAGACTTATTTGAATTTGTTCATTAAATTTGATTCAAATTATTATTTTTAACTGAAGAGCCTAAATTACCATATGGATGTTAGTTTTTCAAAGTGTTTAACTGAATAAATTGCGTTAAATTCAGTTTAGTTAGATCATTGAAAAAGGTTTGATAGATGTTATGTTAAGAATTAAAGAAAGAAAATTTACATTCACAGGGTTATTTTTAGCTTTCCATTTTTTTTTTTGACAAAAATCCCTGACCTCTTCCATATAACCTTTCTTCCGTGTTGTGCTCTCCATTATCGTCAATTTAACCCTAGTTCTCAGAAACCGGAAGGATTTGCACCGTTTCTCCGTTGCCCGTGGCTCCCTCGTCCTCTTCAGTAGCCACCTTTCTAAGAGACAGTTGAACCCTATCTCTCATCTCCGACTTGTTCTGTGTATCCCTCTGAATTTGTTAGCCGTAGCCCTAATCCGAATCAGTTTCTATCGGGATTATTGCCGCCCTCGCTGAATATCAGATCTATAAGAGCCCTTAATTAAAAAAACCGGCATTTTTGTTGGTGCAAGCGAAGCTTTTCAGATTTTCATAGCGTATTAGCATTTCCGATTTGGTTGCTTGATCTTATTTCAACAAAATACGTTGCTTTCAGGAATTTTTTTCCTATTTGAAACGACTACTCTCGAGGTAGCCGCGACAAGTTTGAATTTTGGACCTCCTAGTTTCAAGAATTATACGTATCTCTTGCTATTTCGGACAATATTTCATCAGTGTGCTTGTAGTTGATCTGGCTATAGAGACAAATGGTAGGAGGTGGAAGCAGGAGAGACGAAGGTTCGTTGATGATAAAAAACACAAATGTCTTTGCTGCACTTGATACTCTAAAAAAGAAGAAGAAATCCGATAAGGAGCACAAGAGCAAAGGGTCGTCTAAATCTCAGGTTCAATCTAAGGAACCTGAACCTCAGGTGTTCTGGGCTCCCGCTCCACTGAATGCGAAATCTTGGGCTGACGTGGACGACGATGACGACGACTACTATTCCACCACTGCCCCGCTTCAGCCTGTCTGGGGCGTTTCTGAGCCACAGCAGAGTGAGGAGAAACCAAGCGTTTTCGAGGTTGGATTTAATTGTTTTTATTACCGTTCATGGTGTCATCGTAGTTAAAATGTGATGCTCTTTGTTACAAAAGTTGTGATTGAGTAACGTTACTGATGCGGTTCCTGTTTAGTTTAATAAACCTTTAAATTGCCGGTAATTGATACTTTCTATCAAAATATGATTCATTCCTTAGGTTGTCATTGTTTGTCCCACGTCTCTTTTTTAAATGCTTTGGAGATATTATACGCTATCCAAGTGTGTAGTTGTTACAGCCAACGAAGCCCATGTTTGGCAATAAACGGCGAGAGCAAGAGTAGAAGTAGATTGAGTTGTTTTATTACATTTTTGCTTGTCAAGGAAGATGGATCAAGGAATTATGAACACGGGGGAATCTATAGAACATCTTTTGATGGAAATTTGTTTTCTTTGGACGAAGCAGGCAAGGGATGTCATGCTTTCATATTTGGGGGAGACATAGTCTTGGATCAATCCCTTTTTATGGCTTTAGAGCTCTGCATGCAGTGGGAGCTTAAATACAAATGTAATGAAGTGGGAGTTGCTTGGGAAATTTAAGCGATTTTGAGCATTAAGTATGGAAATTGATTCCATGCGAATCAAATTTATTTATCTTTTGACTTCATGTATTGTATACCTGGAGTTAGGCACTGAATCCTGCTAGGGAGTTGGTACTGGTCTATAACACAATGGATTTATTTCCATTATGTGGCATGGGAAAGAAGTGAGATTGAGTTTGTCTTCCTTCTCATATGAATCCTGAAGCTTTACGATGCTTGTGTTTCTTTGGAGCTGCTGTCATTTTACAATTAAACTGTGCTTTATCATTGGACAAAGTAGAAATTTTATTTTCGAGCAGCTATTGATTTGCCATGTTTATGTGTATGGGTAAAAGAATGATCCCTCGGATAACAAAAATAAGCTTAAAAGGGATATACTCTAATTGTTTGAATGATTGCAGGATAGTGAGAGTGAGGAAGATATTTTAGGTGAAGGGGATGATGATGTGGAGGAAGAGCATGATCATGAACCAGAACAGTCCTTGAACCCTGAACCTGAGGTTAGGAAGCCTAGTCAAGTTTCTGTGGCACCAAAGGAGGCAGAACGGCAACTTTCCAAAAAAGAAAGGAAGAAAAAGGAACTTGCAGAGCTCGAGGCTCTTCTGGCTGATTTTGGAGTCACACAAAAAGAAGGCAGCGGTCAAAATGAGCCACAAGGTAACCTTGAAAAAATTATGGCATAATTTTTAGCTTAGGGAATGTTTTATAAAGATTTATGGTATGCTTTTTTTATTTGTGCTTCTTCCATCTGCCAAAAACATTTTTGGTCAAAGCATCCCCCTTCTTATTCTATATTTTTTGAAACCTATTAGGGTTTCAATTCAGCCAGAAATTGTGTTTCTTTTGAAACTTCTCATCCAGCATGGAGAAAAGTTCTATGAATGTCAAAGAAGCAAACAATAGAATTCGGCTCAAGCAACATGTGTCATATTGCATTTGCAGGTGCCTCACAAAGTAATGAAGATGCTGAGGCTGTCGGAGATGGAGAGAAGAAGGAAAATAACACTGCAGAGTCTAAAAGCGCCAAGAAAAAGAAAAAGAAGGACAAAGCTTCCAAGGAGGTGAAAGAACCTCAGGATCATCTCAATGGGGCAGATACAAATAACGGTCCTGATGATGCTGCGGGCACTGAAAATGCTGGGGATGATAAGTCCACTGTTGATGTGAAAGAGCGTCTCAAGAAAGTTGCTTCTACAAAGAAGAAGAAATCTAACAAAGAAATGGATGCTGCCGCAAGGGCTGCCGCCCAAGAGGCTGCTGCACGAAGCGCAAAGCTTGCTGCCGCTAAGAAAAAAGAGAAGAACCATTATAATCAGCAACCACTGCGGTAAAGAACCCTGTTTGTTACATTGATACAAGAATGTGTATTGTTGTTCATACGATGAGGCCGAATAAACAATGGGCTCCCTACGCTCTATTTGACTTGCGTTCGTATTGCCACGGACCTGAGAAGTATTCCTCTGTTTTTTTTTTACAGTTGCTCTACTGTTACGGACATGCCTTGCCGCAAAAAATGTAGTTGTACTTTTAGTTCGTTCATCCTTGTGACTGATCACTTCATTCTAGGTTCTAACTAAGAGGGGTTGTACTGTAAACCTCGTAAATTATCCCAATCTTTTAAACCGTGTCGATGTAGTGTTTGATTGGAAGAGCCGTGCGATGCACGTACGTAGCCAAGGCTGTTGTTGAGCCATTGTTTCTTTATTTAGTGAGCATCCTTCGCCAGGCCTTGTGAAGAGGATGGAGGAGAGGAAGAACGATGCTGCGTTAGTGAAGTCGGCATTCAAGTGGCTTGACGAAGAAGGAAGACGTGGGACCAACGAACAGAGCGTGTGTGGAGCGTGATATGGAAGTGGCTGGTGGCAGAGAAGGTTAAAAGGTTCCTGCAAAAAATAGCCCCCGTGATGTGCACCCCAAAGCATGGATAACAGTAGCCAAAGCTTCGAGGGGACGGGATCACTTTCTAAGAGAGTGTAGGATATGAAGGTATGGCACTTCATATTCTGAATCCCAAATAATAATAAAGTGCGGAGGTTGTAATTCACACGTGGCGCGGTCAAAGTTATGAACTTTTTTTTATCAAGATAATGACCGTCAAAAGCTCCGAAATATAAAACTGCCCAGATTCCCAAAAAAAAAAAAAAACATTTCCAATTGTTAATTTCATGATTTGAAACTTGTGGAAGTTTTAGATGAAAGCGTTTTTAATTAGGCATTTTGTCATATTGATGATTCTTAGCTTTTAAAGGAAGAATGTTCAATTGACAGAATTTTTATACGTATTGGTAGTCGTGGAAATCAAGTTGAAAATGTTCTCCTTTTTTTTTGCCAGTAGTTGAAATTGTTTTCAGTTAAAAATCTTTGCCACATTGATCCTTAGCTTTTAAAAAGCCACGGGTTCACCTGAAAAACTTTATACATACATGTTGAAAATTGTGGAAACTCATTTGGAAGTGTCTTAAATTAAATGTTTTTTGTATTAATTATTGATTATTAAAAGGTGGAAGCTTTATCAAAAAACTTTATATACATGTTGGAAATTATGAAAGCTCAACTGGAATAAATTTCAACTAAAATTTTTACAAGTGAGTAGGGGGCATTTTAATGATAATAATAAATAACATTGGTTTTTAATCAATATTTTCAAATTTTAAAATCATCAAGACTCGACCGTCACTTCATAATGAAATTAACAAAAGTCATATTTTTAATTTTAAAGAGTTGAATGTTTAAAAAAATGTAAGGTATTTTTAATTTTTTAAAATATAATTATTATTTTTTAAAATATGATTATTAATAAATGATTTTATATTTAGTGTAAGATATTTAAAAAGATAAATATAAAAATATAAAATTAATTTAAAAATAAATAATTATTTTATTAAAAAAATAAAATTTAATTAAATATATTTTATATTTTTTAACGGAAGGGAATTAACCAGTTAGCAGCAACGGTCCATTTAGAAGCGCGCAGTTTTTGGGCGCGCCTAAAGCCAACTGTCATTGTCGTGGATCTTCAGAAAAGTCGGCAAGTAGCTACAGGCCATGAAGAGTTTTTGACTTTTTCCCCCAAAAAAGTCTCCCTCGTCTGTAGCTTCGTGTGAAACCTAACGGAGCGTTTAGTAAAGAGCGCACAGATCCTGGGCAAGCCTAACGCGAATTGCCACGGAGAGGTTGTTGCTAGAATCCAGGCAACCCGCCGTGACAGCAGGAAACTTCATTATCGTCATTTTGAAGGTTCTACTTAAGCATTTCCGGTAACCCAAGTAATCAAATATGCTTCCACTTTATTCTTCCTTTTTAGAGCCAAATAAACAATGCAAGAAACTAGCCGAACTTTGCTTCCTTTTTGTCGAGACTCCGAATCACAGTCCGACACCCAAAGAGAGAAACTCAACAAACAGAATCTCACACTCTACTTCATTTGTATCTTCGGGGTCAGTCCATCAGGCTCGAGCGCGTTGTTCCTATTCGCGCATGACAGTTTACATTCAATGTAAGGAATTTTTAAAATTTGTTTATTTTATATAAGAGCATGGGTTGAATCGATCCATGTTGTTGCTTCCAGAGGCTCTGAATGTTTAGGATGCTCTGGGGTCTTCTAAACTATTAAAAGACTGGGAAGAACAGCTTCTTGGTCCCTTACAAATGACCCACAAACAGTTTGGTGGATGTAAGAGAAGATGATGAACGTGAAAACTCACAGCTTCTTTCTGGGGATTTCTCTTCACGGCTCTTTGGAACTCATCGGCAGTAATTCGGAGCTTTTAAATTTAAACAAATTTTTGTTGCCGAAAAGGGATATTTCCAGATGCATTGTATCTGCAAAACAAAGACACTTGGTGAACCAAGTTTTTAGGTTCTCTCATTTTAGTCGGGGAAATGTGGTGTCACTGAGGAGAAACCTTGTCTCAAAAAATCAGTCGAGGTGGAAATGCTTCAAGAAGCCATTTCCTCCAGGCAAGGCTCTGGAGAGCTATTTAACCCCTTTGTGGAATGAAGGGCTGCTTTTAATTAGAGCCTCTGTTTATACAGCAATTATCTTTGGGATGTGTCTATTGGCATGGTATGGGCAGAGTAAATCTAAGGGTTTCATTGAAACTAGGCTGTTGCCTTCTGTTTGCTCTGCACTTAGTGAACACTTTCAGCGTAAGCTTGAGTTTGGCAAGGTTAGAAGAATCTCACCATTCAGCATGACATTGGAGTCATGTTCATTTGGGCCACAAAAGGAAGAATTTTCTTGCGGTGAGGCTCCCACAGTTAAGCTTCGTCTTCATCCTTTTGCAAGTCTAAGGAGGGGAGAGCTGGTGATTGATGCAGTTTTGTCACGCCCATGTGTCCTAGTAGTGCAAAAGAAGGACTATACTTGGTTAGGAATTCCATCATCTGAAGGTGGCATGAAGAGGCACTTCTCAACTGAGGAAGGGATTGATCATCGTACAAAAATTAGGAGGCTTGCGAGAGAGGAAGCAGCTGCTTGCTGGGCAAAAGAAAGGGATGAAGCAGCTAGAAAAGCTGCAGAGATGGGTTACGTAGTTTCTGAGAGGACTGCTACCCTATCCGAGGGTGATGCTTTGGAGGACATTGCTGCTCAATCAGCAGAATCAATTAAGTCCGAATCCTTTTATTGCCTGAATGAGGGGAAGCATGGCCATCATTGCATGAACTCAGGAATTGATTATGACATGAAACATGCTGACTTGGAAAAATCATTTGGCGTGAAATTTCCAGGTTCAGGGCTTCAAGTTTGGCCTAGGGGAATAAAAAGACGTAGAAAGCCCAAGTTTAAGAGTAAGGTTAATGGGAGTGGCAGCACTGCCTCTGCTGTTGCTACGAAAGTAAAAATTCTTGGGCATAGTTCGCTAGCTGCTCATACTTATTTTCAAGGTCAATTGCATGACGAGCATGGGGAGGCTATATTGCCATCTGATAGTTTTGATTTTGTGAACCAGGATACCTTTTTGGTGAAGAGCAATGTTGACAATAATGCAAAATATGTTATTGGTGATAATGAAACAAGAAATGATGGTGGAAAAAGAGTGACAGAGGTCAGAGATCATGGCGTTAAGACTCCTCTAAATGCAAGTGTTAACGTGCATTCAGATTCTTCAAAATGTTTTCAGGATCCAATGTTGCAGACAGGAGTTAGTAAGTGTGAAAATTTACAATCTCATGGGGATGTTGCAGAACCTGCAAATACTGATAGTTACATAGCCAAAGAGAAGTTGGGACCCCTTGTTGCTGATAGTCAAATTGATGATAATAAGTCCAAGGGCCAGAGAAATTTGTCACCGGCAGATTCAGTCTTTTTGAACCCTAGACCTCATCTGGAAACATATCTTCAATTTCCAATTGATCTCTTTTTTATAAAATTCGGCTCAACCTTATTTTGCTTTCTTTCTGGTTCTATTAAAAAATTCAAATCTTACATGGGTCTCCAAGTTGAAGATAGCGTTTCTGAGCATGTTGGTGTGGCTGATTTTCTTCATTCTGAAGACGCAAAGTTTTTTCCAGTTACACTTGAGTCTGTTCATATCAGAGATGCTACAGTGATGCTACTTGCATATGGTGACGGGGAAGCTAGGTGATGGCCAATTTTTATTAAATGTAGTAGTTTTCTTTTTTTAAACTTTTTTATTATAAAAATGACAACTATAGCTGCAGACTGCAGTTACTGTTAATTTAATTGCAAAATATTTCACTTAAAAGGTAGGCTTTACCACATCAGGAACATTCTTATCTTAGGCCAATCATGTTTTTGCAGTAGATTCTCTTGCTGTTTTTTAACTGCCACTGAGCCCTAATTGGAACAAACATGTATATTTTTCAAAGTTTCTTATAAAGTATATGATCTACTTAATAATGTAAGATAATAGGTGTAGATATGGTTTTCCAAGTATGATTTTGTAGACTATAGGGTATATTATTAGTTGCAGCTGTAGTGGCTCACTTAATAAAAGGATACTTTACACTTAAAAGAAAAGTTCATATAGTAAAGTGCTGGTCTGCCTCAATTCAAATGTCTTCTGTTTTGTACTTTCAGGGAGATAGAAAATGTCAATGGGCATGTGAAGTTCCAAAACTGCTATAGCCGGGTGCATGCTGAACTTGATGGTAATTGTAAAACATGGAGATCAGATATTATGTCTGAAGATGGTGGCTGGTTGTCTGCTAATATCTTTGTGGACACTTCTGAACAGAAATGGCATGCTAATGTAAAAATTGATAATCTATTTGTCTCGGTAAGGTTTAGAGTAATATGAAACTTGAACCTGTTTCTGCTTTGTGATTTAAGTATATGGATTGCTTTTATCAATGTGCCTGGCTTGATTTATTGGCAGCTATTTGAAAGGATTCTGGAAATTCCAATCACATGGTCTAAGGGGAGGGCCAGCGGTGAGGTACTTATCTAATTTTACTTTCAAAGTTCAGTAAAATAGCATCGAGTTGTACTTTTGAAAAAAATTTCTTGACCAAATAGCTGCTACAAAATGAAGTTTGGCAGTTTAATAACTGATGCAGAATTCACTTTTTGTGTGGACTGGCTAGTAGGATTGAGGGTAAATGACAGATTTGAGGACTGAAAACTGTATTCTCATTCATATTTTGATTTTTACAGAGTAGGGGTGTATTTATACACTAGGAATGATGATGAACATTAAATGTCGTACAATAAATGTAATAAAATTGATGCAATAAAGTCTTGATATTTCATATCAGATCTGATGTTTCATATCAGAAAAGTTCTGATATTTCATATCAAATGCAATAATAAAGTAGATTTTCCACAAGGATACTTGTGGCTAGTTGCTTTTCCCTGGTCACAAATAAACGAGCCCTGGCATATTATTTACGTGTGTCAAGAATGACTTCAATATACAAATCAAATTATAAAGTAAAATTCGATGAATATAATCTTTGACATCATGCAGAAGTCTTACAGTGTAATGTGTGGACAAGGCACAACTCTATAATGCCTTGTGAACTGGCACGAATCAAATTCTTGACAGCTAGATAGTGCAGGCTTTGACACCATGTCCTGCAGAAAATCTGAGGTTGATTGCATCTGATATGAAAATCAGAATCAGTTTTACCATATTTATGACATTGATTGTATTGCATTCATTGTATATTATGTCCCTGACTGTATAAATGTACCCCTGCTCTATGCGAATAAATCAAGTAAATGAAAAATGCAATTTTTCCTCCAATATTTCCACATGAAATCAGAGCTTCAGGTTTTATGCACCTAGGGTTTGTGCGTCCAATCTTTTGGTGTGGTTTCACACGATGATTGTTGTAGAGTGTCTCTGGCCGTTGATGCTCATGATGGTAGAGAGCTTTTTAGATCTCACCACATGCCTAAGGAGGAGCACTAAGGTTTGATCGGCCAAAGCCCAAAAAATGAAGGCATGGAGCTTACATGTGCTGCCTGAAGATTCTGCACCAGAGGTTGCCTAGTGGTGTGTGGCCGAGTGTGAGATGCCTGGGCGACCATTGACGCCTTCCTCTGTTGTTGGTGTGACTTTTCCAACTTGATCTCGAAGTTCCCTTAGTCTAGGGAATTTTTCTCCGACCTTGCATTGTCATAAGGCCCTCATTCTGTGTTGCAGCTCTTTATGTGTGGGGTTGTGGTTTTTTATTCCTCTCTGTTTTGAGGAATTTTTTGCATTCTTAGGAGTTATAATGTGGGTACTCCTATCTATTGAGATGCAAGAGACTAGACTTGAACCTAGAGTCGTGATCTGGATTGTTGATTCAAGCACATTTGACCATATGATTAGTTGTCATCAGTTGTTTACCACTTTCACTCCTTGTGCTGAGAATGTTAAAGTGAAGATTGTAGATAGTTCCTTGGCCCTGGTTGCATGAAAAGGGAGTATACGTATCTTAGATTCTATAGTCCTAGAATCTATCTTTCATGTCCCCAAACTTGACTCTAATTTTCTTTCGATAAGTCAATTGACCACTCAGTCAAATTATTTTGCTAAATTTTTCTAGTCACATTATGTGTTTCAAGATTTATTAATTGGTATGACAATTGGTAGTGCTCTGGTGTATGAGGGGTCATACTACTTTGAAATCACTCGAGTGAGTAGTCAACACTCACTTATTGTAGGTAACTTTGCATCTTCCTCAAACAATACTGAATTTATGTTATGGTATAAAAGGATGGGTTACCCTAATTTCCATTACCTCTAACGGTTGTTCCCGAATTTATAACCAAACCGGATTATTTGTGGAATCTAGTTTAAGGTGTGTGAACTCACCAAACACTATCGAACATCTTTCCTAGAGCTCAGTATACACCCACCAAACCTTTCACAACTATACATAGTGATGTGTGGGGACCATCCCATGTTGCCAATTGCACCAATAATAAGTGGTTCGTTACTTTCATAGATGACCATACTCCTCTTTGTTGGGTTTATTTGTTAACGAACAAGTCTGAAGTTTCATCTGTGTTTCTTACCTTCTATGCTATGATCAAGAATCGATTCCAATCCAGCATTCAAATTTTGCATACCAACAATGGCACTGAACACTTAAACCAATCTAGAAGCATGTTTCTTCAAGAAAGTGGCATCGTCCACCAAAGTACTTGGGTGCATGTCCCCTAACAAAATGGGATAGCCAAGAGGAAAAAGAAACATATATTTTACAGGTGGCAAGAGCCCTCATGTTTACTTGTAATGTTCCAAAATATTTTTGGGGGGATGCTATTCTCATTGCCACTTATCTCATCAACATAATGCCAAGTTGTGTATTATCTTATGAATCTACCCTAAACAAACTACACAAGGTATACCCTACTTTCTATATTGAGACCAATCTTCCACTTTATGTCTTTGGTTGTACCTCTTCTATTCACTGAAGTCTTAAACTTGAACCTCATGTACTTAAGTGTATTTTTTTGGGCTACTCACCAACCTAAAAGGGCTTTAAATGTTATGACCCTATCTCTAAATATCTCTTCGTTAGTCTTGATGTTACTTCTTCTCTCTCTTTTTTAAGAATACTCAATTCTATCCCTAGTCCTCAATTTAAGGGGAGATCATAGGTGAATTTCAGACTTGGAAAAGTGAGAGATCCAACGAAGATTATGTTTCCAACTCATCTACATTGCTTGAACCACTTGAGCCCTATTCTCTTGAACCACTTCTTACCCTACCATCACTAGCCCTTTTTCTTATGCCAGAAATTGAGGAATATAGGAAAACAAGGGGAGATGCAGAAGAACCGGAAAAGGGAGAGTTGTCTGTTTACACTCAAAAAAACAAATTGGAAAATGGCAAACAATTCATAGCTAAAGCATCAAGAGAGTCAGAACCAGAGATAGCTCTCAAATCTGAGACACCAAGAGGCCCAGAACCTGAGGAAATTCCTAAAATCCCAGATGTTAATCCATCCATTAAGTTAGATGGTCCTAGACAAAGAAATGAATCTACTGATCCAAGTCTTCCTATTGCTCAAAGGAAACAACCTCGCTCATGTGCTCATCATCCGATAGAGATGTTTGTATCTTATAAGGCTCTTTCTCTAAGACTCTATGCTTTCACCACTAATATTGACAGGATAAAAATTTTTAACAGTATCTGTGACGCATTTGAAATACCGGAATAGAGAAAGGCTATCGTGGAAGAGATGAAAGCTCTGGAAAGGAACAGCACTTGCAAATGGGTTTTTACACCAAAGTATAATGCTGGTAGTTCCTTGGAGAAATACAAAGCTCGTCTTATTGCAAAAGAATTCACTCAAACCTATGGCATAGACTACATTGAGACATTTGCTCCAATTGTAAAGCTTAATACAGTCAGAGCATTATTATCTTTATTTGCAAATCTCGTTTGGCCACTTCATCAACTGGATGTTAAGAATGTTTTTCTTAATGGTGACTTAGCTGAAGTTTACATGATCAATTCATCTTGGGTTTGAAAAACAAGGAAAAAACAAGGTTTGCAAGTTAAGGAAATCTCTTTATGGGTTGAAGCAATTTGCCAAAGCATGGTTTGATAGATTCTTAAAGGTACTGAAAAAGGAGTACTATCAGCAGGGCTAATCTGATCATACACTCTTTGTTAGACACAGGGAAGGAAAAAGGGCTATACTTATTGTTTATGTAGATGATATAGTCATAACTGGTGATGACTTTGAGGAAATAGAGACCGAAGAAAGTCCTAGCTTTTGAATTTGAAGTAAAAGATTTGGGCCAAATGCATTATTTCTTGAGTATGGAAGTAGCTAGGTTGAAGAAAGAAATAGGCATCTCACAAAGGAAATATGTCCTTGATCTCTTGACAGAAATTGGAATGCTTGGTTGCAAGTCAATTGATACTCCTATAGTAGTTAAAAAGAAGAAGAAAAGGAAAGAAGATGGCAAGGTTGAGGAGGAAGAAGATGAAGGGGAGGAAGAAGAAGGCTAACTGGTTGACAAGGAGAGATATCAAAGTTTGGTAGGGAAGTTGATGTATCTATCACATACAATACTTGATATTGCCTTTGTTGTGAGTTTTGTAAGCTAGCATATGCACTTATCGAAGGAAATTCGCTTATGATTGTGTATAGAATTTTAAGATACTTGAAAGGAACCCCAAGAAAGGGCTTATTCTTCAAAAGAGGTGAACAACCAAAGGTAGAAATTTTCACTAATGTTGATTGGGCTGCTGCCTCAGAAGATAGAAGATCTACATCTGGGTATTGTACCTTTGTTTGGGGCAACCTAGTATCATGGAGCAGCAAGAAACAAAATATAGTGTCTAGGAGTGCAACAGAAGCTAGGTTTAGATTTGTAGTGCACATATATATGAGGGCTTGTGGTTGCAAATACTTCTCAAAGAACTGAAGATTGGTGTTGAATTGCCTATTAAGCTCTATTTTGATAGCAAGGCAGCAATAAGCATATCTCATAATCTATTTTAACATGATTGAAAAAAAAAAATTGAAGTAGATAGACACTTCGTTAAAGAAACGATTGAAAGTGGAATAGTGTGCCTAATATATGTTCCATCAAAGAAGCAAGTTGCTGATGTCCTCACTAATGACCTTCCAATGGAGAACTTCGATGAATGGATAAGCAAGTTGGATATGATCAATATCTATCAACTTGAGGGGGAGTGTAGAGAATCTGAGTTTGATTGCATCTGATATGAAAATCAGAATCAGTTTTATCATATTCATGACATTGGTTGTATTGCATTTATTGTATATTATGTCCTTGCCTGTATAAATGTACCCATGCTCTATATGAATGAATCAAGTAAATGAAAAATGTAATTTTTCATCCAATATTGCCACATGTCTAGGATTATTTCAATCTAAAAGCTTAAGCTAGTAGGTAATGGCCAGTGAATAGTTTTAATGATGATTTTTGATAGTTAAGCTTTTTGTAGCATTTGGCTTG